CCAAGATTTTAGACACTTATTTACACCAGGTTAGTGACACATCCATAAATTCACCACTTTTTACTCTGCTGGGCAGTCCCCTCATTAATTCCAAATTCATGTATATATGTACTTGGCATGCTATGGGTTCTTGAGGCTTAGGGAGTTCACAATAGCAACCCAATCAGACAGACGTTTGTGCCTCACTATGAAAGACTTAAAGGACCACTATAGTGCCAGGAAAACATACTCGTTTTCCTGACACTATAGTGCCCTGAGGGTGCCCCCACCCTCAGGTCCCCATGTATATAAGAACTCATTAGAGTGCATTAGATTAGGATGGGACCCTAACTCTTACTCTGGGCACTCATTCAGAATAGGGGCTGAATCAGCTGCCTCCAGTATCTATACACCTGTTCACATCATGAAAAAGTTGGGATGTTGGAAATCCGCGGTATGCAATATATATACACCACAACCAGAGAAAGAGTTAAGAAAGGCATTTAAATGCCTTTATAATCATGTTATAATCATATTTGCAATAAAGTGTGTTTTCTGCATTCTTTTTTTGCCCCCTTTTTTACAGGCAGGGCTGGCGCCACCGCTGGGCGAACAAGTCATTCTCCTCTGGCCTGCTGGGGGCACACATCGGGATGTTTCCTGGGGAGTGTCTGTGTGTGTGTGTGTGTGTGTGTGTGTGTGTCAGTGAGTGAGTGTATGTATGTCAGCAAGTGTCTGTGTGTGTGTGTGTGTGGGGGTCAGTGAGTGAGTGTGTGTCAGTGAGTGTGTGTCTGTCAGTGAGTGTGTGTGTGTGTGTCTGTCTATCAGTGAGTGTGTGTATGTCAGTGAGTGTCTGTGTCTGTCAGTGAGTGAGTGTGTGTCTGTCAGTGAGTGTGTGTGTGTGTGTCTGTCAGTGAGTGCGTGTATGTATGTCAGTGAGTGTCTGTGTCTGTCAGTGAGTGTGTGTCTGTCAGTGAGTGTCTGTCAGTGAGTGAGTGTGTGTCTGTCAGTGAGTGTCAGTGAGTTAGTGACATGAGGGGGCGGCAAAATGGATCTTTGCCTAGGGCGGCAGAAATCCTTGCACCAGCCCTGATTACAGGTCTACCCTTATGTCGGTTTTGGCACACCCACACCGGCGTTCCCCAAGCTCAAGGCATCTCTCTCTCGAAAAATCAGCACCCCCAGGTATTTCACACTCAACTTCTTTACTGAAAAAAGTGTCAAACAATCATCAACGTTTCAGTTCCACATACGAACTTTCATCAGTGTTTGTCCTGATGAAAGTTCCTATGTGGAACTGAAACGTTGATGATTGTTTGACACTTTTTCCAGTAAAGAAGTTAAGTGTGAAATACCTGGGAGTGCTGATTTTTCTTGTTTTATATATTTAGTGCAATCAAGTACTGCGTCAAAATAACCGTGAGTGCAAGGTGAACGATCACATGGCCCCAGGGGGCCTGATTCAGCATGGGGGACTGCCTGGGGTCGAAAGCGGTTATGGTGTTCCAGGCCACCACAAATAGACGTTGAGAGGGATAGAAGATAAACATATCGAGTGAGGAACTGTAAAGTTGAGAGAGACAGAAAATAAAATAAAGGGATGCGTGGGATAATATACACTTACTAAAGGCAGATCCCTATTAACCCCTTAGCGACCCAGGACGGTTCAGGACCCACATCGGCATTTTTGCCTTGAGGACCGATGACGGTCCTGAACCGTCCTAACGGTTTCCGTTACTTACCTGATCGCCGTCGTTCCCCCAGCGGCGATCAGCGTTGCTCTGGTTGTGGGGAGACTGCCTGCAGCCCAGACAGTCTCCCCACACTGAATTAGGACCCCCTGTGGCCATGTGATCGCTTAACACAGCGATCACATGGTCACAATAGGTGTCCATGTGTCTGCCTGCAGGGGGACTGTCTGTGCTGACAGGCAGTCTCCCTGCTAGTGTAAAATCAGAAAAAAAAATAAAGTTAATGTTAATTAAAAAAAATAATAATAATTATATATGTGTATATATGATATATAGACATATATTATACCTATATAATATATGTCTATATATCATATATATATAATGCCATACTAAGTGTATTTTTATATTAATATGTACTTATATTAATATAAAAATACACTTATAATTAAATTACACACGTATATATATAATATATATAATAACTATATATATTGTATATATATATTATTATAAAATATAAATAATAAGTAATTTAAATTAAATAAAAATTTTTAAAATAATAATAAAAAAATAAAAAAAATTATATATCTATATGAAATTTTATTCTAACTGTATTTTAAAATTAATATATATATATTTATATCAAAATACACTTAGAATGAATTTGTATATATATCTACGTATATAAAAATAAATAAAAATAATAAGAAATATACATACGTCCATATACAAAATTACATAAATAATTATATAAATATACACGTAGACTTCAAATATATAAATATGCATATATATTTAAATTCTACGTGTGTATTTATGTAATAGTTTTACATAATTCAGTAATTTTATTGATTGCAATTTAAGGGACCTGCCTGCCAACCCAGGCCGAAATTCCAGAGAATTGAATTTGCTAGCACTGTATTTTACCCTGTAACGTTCTACGACACCCTAAAACCTGTACATGGGGGGTACTGTTTTACTCGGGAGACTTCGCTGAACACAAATATTAGTGATTCAAAACAGTAAAACATATCACAGCGATGATATTGTCAGTGAAAGTGACTTTTTGCATTTTTCACACACAAACAGCACTTTTACTGATGATATAATTGTTGTGATACGTTTTCCAGTTTTTAAACACTAATATTTGTGTTCAGCAAAGTCTCCTGAGTAAAACAGTACCCCCCATGTACAGGTTTTATAGTATTTTTGAAAGTTACAAGGTCAAATATATGGGTCAAATATTTTTACATTGAAAATGGCCAGGTTGGTTACGTTGCCTTTGAGAGCGTATGGTAGCCCAGGAATGAGAATTACCCCCATGATGGCATACCATTTGCAAAAGAAGACAACCCAAGGTATTGCAAATGGGGTATGTCCAGTCTTTTTTAGTAACCACTTGGTCACAAACACTGGCCAAAATTAGCGTTCAATTTAGTTTTTTTACTTTTTTCACACACAAACAAATATGAATGCTTACTTTGGCCAGTGTTTTCGACTAAGTGGCTACTAAAAAAGACTGGACATACCCCATATTGAATACCCTGGGTTGTCTACTTTAAAAAAAATATGTACATGTGGGGTGTTATTCAGAGATTTATGACAGATAATAGTGTTACAATGTCACTATTGATAAATTTAAAAAATTTATGTTTTGAAACCGCAATATTTACTTGTACCTATAGCCCTATAACATGCAAAAAAAAGCAAAAAAGCATGTAAACACGGGGTATTTTTAAACTCAGGACAAAATTTTGAATCTATTTAGCAGTTTTTTTAATTCGCTTTTGTAGATGAGTAAAAGATTTTTCAAGTAAAAGTCAAAAAACATGTATTTTTTTCAATTTTTCATCATATTTTTTTATTTTTTTTAAATTAAAATACATGAGATTATATAAATAATGGTATGTAAAGAAAGCCCCTTTTGTCCTGAAAAACAATATATAATTTGTATGGGAACAGTAAATGAGAGAGCGGAAAATTCCAGCCAAACACAAACACCACAAAAGTGTAAAAATATGCCTGGTCGCAAATGTACAACATCGCAAAAACAGTCCAGTCCTTAAGGGGTTAAAACAAATTTGCATGTTATGATATAAACATATGTATTTGGGTTTTTAGCTTTAGGAATAGTTTTTACATGCATTTTAAACATACCACAAAGTCCCTATATGAAACAAAAATACATTTCATGATTTGTAAATATCACGCATTTGTGCTTATCATAATTTTTTTATTCTATTTGATCTTGCAGGAGTCTGTGGAGACTGGAAGAACTATTTTACTGTTGCCCAGAATGAAATATTTGATGATGTTTATCAAGAACAAATGAAAGATTTAAATACTAAACTATTTTGGGATGAGAACTAACATGTTCCACTAAAGGGCAGTTAAATTTTTTTGTGGTTTTCATTTAAAGAAAGTACAGATAATCATTATGAAAGAAATTAAAGAAAGTGACATTCTGAGTTACAGGCTACTTTACCAAGTGTATTTTAGTATGTAATATTTAGGCAATATTATGATAAATTTGTTTCAAATCTGAATGTGTTTCCTGTTATTTAATTGAGGAGTACGTAATTAAACCCTTAGCAACACCGTTTTAGTATGCTTCTTTTGTACTTAAAGGGACACTCCACAGTGCATATACAAATAAATTTGATTCTGCTGTATAGAGGGATTTCTCTGCAGTTTAGGGAGATGGGACTGCTCTTCTGCTTGGTCACTCAATGGACCCAGCAGCAAGATGTCTGTGTCATATTCCCATGTGCATCATATATATACACCTTATGTACGAATACACAGAGCTTATTCACTAAACACAAAAAATTGTAAGGTATTCCAATCTAAATTGCAAAATGTAGGTTCGAATAGCCAAGCTGTGCCTATGCTGAATTGGAGAACTTTATTAAATAATTGTTTTGGTCTATATTTTACAATTACTATGTCAATTCACTACATTTCACAGTTTAAAGAATAAACTTCTATAGTATATTTCCTAAACCAGAGTTTTCCAATTAGTGTTTCCTGGAAACAGAAAAAAAACTGGGGTTCCTCCGTGATGTTGCTAGATGATCACAGCTCCACATTGGTTTTTGCCCTAAACTAAAAAATGTAGTGCACAGAATTGAAAACCAAACAAAATAATAAATTAACAAATCAACGCAGTTTTCGTTTAACGACTTAAGGATGGCGGGCGTGCTATGCAGTCCTTGGGGACCCGGCTCTAAATGCCGATGGGTGGCATAACAATGTGTAGAGTCCTCCAGAGTCTTGCAGCTGTGCATAAACCTTCTATTCGGCCACCACTAGCCAATGCTCAAAAGCAGAAACGGCTGCATTGGGCAGAAAAATACATGAAGACTAATTTTCAAACAGTCCTCTTCACTGATGAGTGCCGTGTAAACCTGGATGGTCCAGATGGATGGAGTAGTGGATGGTTGGTGGACGGCCACCCTGTTCCAACAAGGCTGCGACATCAGCAAGGCGGTGGTGGAGTCATGTTTTGGGCCGGAATCATGGGAAGAGAGCTGATCGGCCCTTTTAGGGTCCCCGAAGGTGTAAAGGTGACCTCTGCAAAGTATGTGGAGTTTCTGACTGACCACTTTCTTCCCTGGTACCGAAGAAGGAACTATGCTTTCCATAATAAAATTATCTTCTTGCATGACAATGCACCAACTCATGCTGCAAAGAATACCTCTGCATCAATGGCTGCTATGAGGATAAAAGGAGAGAAAGTCACGGTGTGGCTTCCATCCTCCCCTGACCTCAATCCTATTGAGAACCTTTGGAGCATCCTCAAGCAAAATATCTATGAGGGTGGGAGGCAGTTTACATCCAAACAGCAGCTCTAGGAGGCTATTCTGACATCTTACAAACAAATTCAAGCAGAAACTGTCCAAAAACTTACAAGTTAAATGGATGCAAGACTTGTGAAGCTGCTATCAAATAAGGTGATCTATGTTAAAATGTAACGTGACCTGTTAAAATGTTTAAAAAGTTAAAATGTTGTTATAAGTTTGATTGAAATAGCTTTTGATGTCATTAAATATGCTGCAAACACAACAAATGACAATTTTTAGTTCTTTACAACCTATAAAGTGTTTTGAAACTTACTGTGCGTAATAATTTGGAACAGTGCATTGTAAGTTTTTTATGTTTAAAAAAAATACTGTTATCATTAGGAGGTTTGTTCATTAAAACTTGAATTGTACTCTTAATAGTTGATAACATGAGAATTATGCTGACTGTTATTTACATCAATTATTTATGTAAGTGAGAAAAATAATAATTTGGAACAGGGTGTATATATATATATATATATATATATATATATTAATATAAAAATACACGTAGAATGATATTGGTTAAATATATATAATTATCTATATATATATATATATATATATATATATATATATACACACATATATATATATATACACACACACATATATATATATATATATATATATATATACATACATACATACACACACATATATAATCATTATATATAGATATATATACACATATATTTAAATATAATATAAATTAAATAAATATGTAAATATGTAAAATAAAATAAAAAAAACATAATATTAGACATATATATATATATATATATATATATATGTATATATATATTTATATATACACACACACACACACACAGAAGATATATAGATATATATCTTCTGTATATAGATTTGTGGATAGAATTGAAAACCAAACAAAAAAATTAATAAACAAATCTACATAGTTTTCCTTTAACCACTTAAGGACGGCGGGCGTGCTATGCCGTCCTTGGGGACCCAGCTCTAAACGCCGGGTCTCATCCACCAGCTCCACAACTCAAAAATCTAATATATATATATATATATATATATATATATATATACATACATATATATATACACACACACACACACACCTAAATAGAAATAAAAATAATTAGAAAAAATATATACACACATACATATATATATATATATATATATATATATACACACACACACATATACATATACACATACACATACACACACTGCTCAAACAAATAAAGGAAACACTTAAACAACACAATGTAAATCCAAGTCAATCACACTTATGTGAAATCAAACTGTACACTTAGGAAGCAACACTGAGTGACAATCAATTTCACATGCTGTTGTGCAAATGGGATAGACAACAGGTGGAAATTATAGGCAATTAGCAAGACACTCCCAATAAAGGAGTGGTTCTGCAGGTAGTGACCACAGACCACTTCTCAGTTCCTATGCTTCCTGGCTGATGTTTTGGTCACTTTTGAATGCTGGCGGTGCTTTCACTCTAGTGGTAGCATGAGACGGAGTCTACAACCTACACAAGTGGCTCAGGTAGTGCAGTTCATCCAGGATGGCACATCAATGTGAGCTGTGGCAAGAAGGTTTGCTGTGTCTGTCAGCGTAGTGTCCAGAGCATGGAGGCACTACCAGGAGACAGGCCAGTACATGTGGAGGAGGCCGTAGGAGGGCAACAACCCAGCAGCAGGACCGCTACCTCTGCCTTTGTGCAAGAAGGAACAGGAGGAGCACTGCCAGAGCCCTGCAAAATGACCTCCAGCAGGCCACAAATGTGCATGTGTCAGAAACAAACTCCATGAGGGTGGTATGAGGTCCCGACGTCCACAGGTTGCCCGACGAACACCGTTCAGGATGTTTGGCATTTGCCAGAGAACACCAAGATTGGCAAATTTGCCACTGGTGCACTGTGCTCTTCACAGATGAAAGCAGGTTCACACTGAGTACAGAGTCTGGAGACACCGTGGAGAACATTCTGCTGCCTGCAACATCCTCCAGCATGACCAGTTTGGCAGTGGGTCAGTAATGGTGTGGGGTGGCATTTTTTTTGGTGGGGGCGCACACTTTAATTTTGAGTGTGACTCCAAATCCAGACCTCCATGGGTTGAAAAAAATTGATTTCCATTTTTTTTATTTTTGTGTGATTTTGTTGTCAGCACATTCAACTATGTAAAGTACAAAGTATTTCAGAAGAATATTTAATTCATTCAGATCTAGGATGTGTTATTTTTGTGTTACCTTTATTTTTTTGAGCAGTGTATATATATATATATATATATATATATATATAATAATAATTCTACGTATATATTTATGTAATCATAAAGTCCAGGGAATTTAATTTGCTAGCACTATATTTAACCCTGTGAACTGTTGGTCTTTAGAGATTTTAATATTGATTGGCTGAATCCTAAAAATAATAGTTCTTGCACGCTGTTTAAGACTTTGCAGCTAACGCAATTAATCTCCTCCCCAACTCGCATAAACATTAAAAGCCATAAAGATACCCTACTCGATTGGATTCTCTCCACTTCTCCTGTTAGAATCCAGGAGGCCGGTGTTCTCCCAAACAGTTTCAGTGATCACTGTTTAGTGTACTGTGTGCGCAAAATAAAGGCTACTAAATCCTCTCCCAAGATTAAAATCACCAGGTCCTTCAAAAAATTTAATCTTGAATCCTTTCTTAATGACATAAACAACCTCCCATGGCACAGATTAAATATTATCCCAGATCTAGACTGTGCTGTTGAATTCTTTCAGTCTGAACTCCTAAAAATTTGGAATTTGCATTCCCCGCTGCGTAAGGAGAGAGTAAAAGGAGCACATATGAACTGTATCACAGCTGACCTCATCCAAATGTACCAGTTTGGGGATTCTTTGTGGTCAAAGTTCAAGCGTACTGGCTCTATGAATGATCACTGTGCATATAGACAATGGTGAAATATATGCACAAAACAAACAAAATTGGCCATGGCCCAATATTTCTGTTAAAATCTGAACAATAACCTATGAAACTCTAGAAACTTTTGGAAAGTTATAAATAAATTACAAACTCCCCCAATCTACTCCCAACCCTCGACTGTCAAAGTGGATAACCAAAACATGCAACTTCCCTTAGATGTAGCAAATGCCTTTAACAATTATTTTGTTGGATGCTCCACTGCCCTGATTGCCAAGCTAATAAATGACACGCATCCTGAAACTACAAATGTGTATCAGGCCCCACTAAATTTGCAAAGGCCCAATATAGACAGGTTCATTTTAAGACCTGTACCTATTAGTGTCATTAAAAAAAAAACACCTTAATAATCTAAAAATTAAAAACCAGTTTGGACCTGATCAAATCACAGCAATGCTTTTGAAGCTCAGTGCGCCGGCAATTGCTAAACCAGTGGCAACCCTAATTAAAGAAACCTTGGTGTCTGGATACATACCCAAACTTTGGAAGACTGCGAGAGTAGTGCCTATCTAAATAAGTGGTGACACTACTTTGGTTTCTAACTATCGCCCAATATCATTGCTCCCGGTGTTGTCAAAAATCTTAGAAAAATGTGTCCATACGCAAGTATATGAGTATTATCAACAATCAAACTATCTGACCCCTGATCAATCAGGCTTTCACCCACATCACTCCACTACAACTGCCCTCATAAAAGTTTGCAATGACATCCAAACTGGCATGGAACAAGGAGACCTAACTGGAGCTATTTTCCTTGATTTTGCAAAGGCTT